TGATTCCATTAAATACCATGAATAAATTAATTCAATGGATTAGTGCAGAAGATCGGATTTTGGGTTTCAGTAATGTCACTTGTTGATCTACTTCCAATATTTGCTGAAATGCTGGAAGGATAAAATTTGAAAGCCAATTTTCAATATTAGACACCAACTGATGAGCTCCAATGACAAAAATTATGATTTGTTGTCTGCTGAAAGAAGAACGTAAGTAGGCATTTTCAATTTAGATACCTTACCTCTGCAAGAATGTCTTTTGAAAGTCACCATGTTTACATGCAGTCTCAGATTTGCTGCTTGGGTTTGCAGTACACATAAGAGCACAGTCTGTTCCTTCATAACGCAAATGCAGGTATGCCTCTGTGTGTATATGTTCAGGTTTGAATCCCTGCTTCTCTAGTTCCACTTCACATTGCTTTTCCAACACAGTCAGCCGCTCATCCAGGTATAAGAATGATTCTGCCACAAGATAATGTTACATTAATCAAATTTTGATAATTTAAATTTGACATGATATGATTTGAGTTATTGACATCAGTAAATGGTTAAACAAACCATAAATAAAAAAAAAATAAGGTTATATAATTATAACTTTGTGACATCTAACATGCCATATTATAACGACCAAAAATTAATTTTGTTTTGCAGGTGCTAACATCTCAAAATTACTGTAAATGATTAATGTCTTTGTTCCTCTACACATTGGCTACTCTTCACAGAGGATATTTCATGTCATGTAAGACAGGATGGTAATGAATGGTACACTGATAAGGATGCAGAATTGTTATTTTCAAGGAATATCTTAGCATTCCTCCTGGAACAAGTCAAAGAAACTAGAAAAATCATTTATGAGGACAGCTGGTGTCCAATCAAGACTCAAACTGCATACTCCATAAATATAAGAATGATAAGGGTGAAGCACTTTATTATTATATACTCGTATATATACACACACACACACACACACACTGTGTGTGTGTGTGTGCGCGCATGTGTGTGTGTGCGTGTGTGTGCGCGCGTGCGCGCGTGTGTGTGTGTGTGGGGGGGGACAATTGTTCTACAGCCTTGGCATTAACTAACCATAAGTACTCTAGTTTTGCAAGATGTCTAAGAAAAGCTTATACTTTTGTGTTAAAATGTCATATGTTAAGTAAAAGAAACTAAGGAAGTTATTAACTTTTTAACTTTACTTAAAATCTTCCAGCATATGGGATTTAATGATTTTAATATGTCCACAAGGAAAATGTCAACATGCCATGGCATACTGGATGTGAATTACATATCGTACTCATTCCCGCTGTTCACACTATTGTTGTTTCAATCTACTTTAAACACAGAATACCTAGAGAAGATCTTCTTTGGTACTCTTATATTTGTCATAATTTTATTACTTGAAAGAATTCATTAAATTACTTTTAATGCTACATACAAAGGTCTTCAGAATTACTGATATTCTACACATTTTATACTTTGAGTATGAAGACTTGATGCATCCCAGTGTCCCCCTACTTTGATATCAACTTCACCTTAACACAATGTTCTCTAGTCTAATGAATGGAGCTGTGATGACCGAGTCACGGCGACTACATGGATATGAAGGCAATAATAGGACCTAGATACTTTCTGGAAAGAGCAGAGTTCCAGGGCAGCAGCCAGTTTTCCAGGTGGGGTGGCCAGAAAACTTACTTATAACTTACATTTACATTTTAAGACTATTTTTACTAATTAAAAATTATTAAATTTGTATCAATAATATTTTGTAAATTTCCTTCTTTTCTTCAATTTTTATCTCGTTTCTTTTTCAAAATGTGGAGGGGGTGAAATACCCAGCTTCCCCCTGACACCACCAAAAGACAGTATTGTAACACATGTGGGGACATCCCACATAGCATGCTGTTTCCACTTGTCTTTGAGACAACACTCACTCCTTAGTGAATATACCATCGCTGGACGTTTCATTCATATTTATACAAGCACGCACTGCAATTTTCTGCTTCTCATTTTCACTAGCCAATCAGCGCTCTGCAAATTGTTGCTCCTCAAATGCAAGTTTTGCTCCGCCCACCGAGCATTGTATAAAAGGCGGAGCACAAGCTCGCAAGTCAGTTCCAAATCAGTTCCACAGCAGTGTTCAAGCAGTCTACAAACAGCACGCTTCGTCACCAGCGCTGATCTTCAGGGGCATTGGCAATTCGCTGCGCCAGGAACGACTGCCTTGGCTGTCCGGCAGTCACACCTGACTCACTGGGCAACTCGGCCGCCTCGATTTGCCGGTAGTCATGCCCAACACACTGGGCAACTGGCGTAGCTATCGCCTCTCCACTCCTGCGACCGCGTTCAGCAAGCGAATATTCTCCAACAACGGCCGCACTGAGGCCAGTCAACTGACTCAGTCACCTCAACACACCGCAACCAACATCCCTTCCTACCGGCGCTACTTCACCGGCCAAGCATCTCAGCAACCAACGGTCCTTTTCAGGACCTACAAACTGTTCCGAAGAAGTGGGTTGTCATTGAAGTAACGACAATCCCCCACACACAGATTACATTATATAAGTGAAATTACCTTGAACCTCTATCTGTAATCCTAGGATTTGGAATATTTATCCACATTATTTGCCTTGCAAGAAGAAAAACGGGAACATTTCAATAAAGTTTGATTAAAACTAACCCAGTAAGGATATGAATAATTAAGCAGATTCCTAGGAGTTATTACAATATTATTCACTGATTGAANTCCCCCACACACAGATTACATTATATAAGTGAAATTACCTTGAACCTCTATCTGTAATCCTAGGATTTGGAATATTTATCCACATTATTTGCCTTGCAAGAAGAAAAACGGGAACATTTCAATAAAGTTTGATTAAAACTAACCCACTAAGGATATGAATAATTAACCCTTTGACGTGGTCATTTAAATTCCGCGGCCGCGGCTCCTGCGGTAATATATTCAGCCGGCCATNAATTTAAATACTGTAATATTATTCTGTGATATTTAAGTGTAGTTTCTAATTTGGGGCTTTAATCACTATTTTACATGATGACAATCACAATTAGTGTGGCTGGGCTGTCCATAAATCCACCATCTGTCAATAAACAAATCAAACTTTTCATTGCAAATGATAATCCCTACAATTACAGATGTTACTTTAATCTTACAGACTAACCCATTCTATAAAAATAAAAGTGTACTAATGACTTGTACAAACACCTCTGCAAATCCACAGATATGAAAACTACTTTACCTGGTTCATAGACTTTGGCACATGGTTCCTGTGCTTCGTGCACAACATCAGCAAGAGCCATGCCATATGCAGACAGAATTCCAGCATATTTGTGCACAAATACTGTCCCCATTCCCAGCGCTCTGGCAATTGAGCATGCGTGCTGGCCTCCTGCCCCACCAAAACATGCCAGCACATGGTGGTTTGTGTCATAGCCTTTAGCCTGTCAAAATATAAAACACCTGTCTCAGGCCTAGCAGGCCTATTGCACATCTAAGAACTGATGCTTTCATGGCATATAAATACATTAAAATTCTCTCAGCTGATCAACTGCATAAGAGTTGAGTTAAAAACCAACATATCAGAGACCTACTGTGTCCCCAAATTCAGGGGCCATTGGCCATGATGAAGGAAACAAAGCAGTCTCCAAAATGTTGATTCTTCACTCAACTGTTACACATGTTTGCCCAAGGGGATTTCAGTGCAATGTTTCTGTCTGTTAGTAACTTCACTTAGCATCCTCTTCCTCTCCACTGAAAAATTATTTTTGGAGTGGGAAAAGGAGGATTCTCTCAGACCTCATTCTTTCAGCATATGAGGGGTGCTCAGAAGGAAGTTTACAAGGTACACAGTTTGCAAAACAAGCAAGCATAAAGCCACTTCATGTAGGACTTTGAATCCATCAATCATAGTCAGTACTACAGTCCCTTAAAAAAAATAAGCTATCCCTGTAACAAGCCATGAAGGCCCATAAGCTTGTGAGATGTTGAGGGTTCCACATTATGTAGACAATTGGTTCAAAGATGGCGGTAAGGTTGTCAGCCTTACACACCGGAATCATATCAGCAGTTTGTTAGTGATAGGATGTCATACATAATACTAAGAGTCTGCTGAATGTTCATACCCCAACAGAGGATAAAATTGATGATGTGAAGGAAAGCTTCTACAAGCAAATAAGATGCATAATCAATGAATTCCACAAATACAATATGAAAATTTTGTTAGGAGATTTTAATTCCAAGTTATGTTGGGAAGACATTTTCTAACCAACAATTGGGAACAAGAGTTTACACAAAATTAGTAAGGATAATAGAGTTCGGGTAGTAACCTTTGCCACATAAAGAAAACTGACTGTCAAAAACACAATGTTCCAACATCATAACATTCATAAGTTTACTTGCACATTTCCTGATTGAAAGACTCGCAATCAAATTGACTATATTTTGACAGGAAGGAAATTTCATATAGGTTCACAGATTTGGAAAACTTAGATGCTGAGGTGGATATTAATACAGCTTGGGAAACTATCAGGGTGAATATAAACATTTCAGCCAAAGACAGTCTAGGTTATTAGGAGCTGAAGAGGCAGAAGAAATGGTTCGACAAAGGATGCCAAAAATTATTAGATCAAAGGAAAGAAGCCAAATTGCAGTGGTTACAGGATCCAAGTGAAATAAATGGGGATGATCTGAACAATATAAGATGTGAAGCCAGCAGACATTTCAGTAATAAAAAGAGGGACTATCTGAAAGACAAAATTAAGGAGCTTGTAACAAACAGTAAGAACAAGAACATAAGAGACCTGTACAGAGGAATAAATGAATTTAAGAGGGGTTATCAACCTAGAAAAACTAACAGAGAACTAACACAGAGAAAACTGACTATATGTTGCTGTCTCATCACCAGAATGAAAAGCAAAATAATGATATAAAGCCAACTAACAGATCCTTTGAAAATGTGGCACAGTTCAAACATTTTGGAACAACAGTAACAAATCAAACTTTAAAAAAACTCCGTGATTTTAGTCCGCAAGCAAACTATGCCGACCAAGCAACCGCCACTTGTCAGCAAAATTTAGTGGCAACTTTTGCAGTTGGAAGGTGTCGCGTGGTCAGCGCAACGAATCCCCATGGCCGTTAATTTCGATTTTCTAGACCGGAGCCGCTCTTTCCTTTAAATAGCTCCTCAGTTATCATCACGAGGCTGAGTGGACCCCGTTCCAGACCCACTACTTGTCAGAAAATCTGGTAGCGCCAGAAATCGTCCTGGACCTCTGGATCTGTAACCAGGAATGCTGACCACTAGACCACAGAGTGTAAGGGGAAATTAAGAGAAGACTGAATTCAGGTAATGCTCCCTACCATTCAGTGCAGAACATTTTTTCTGCTTATCTGCAGTCTAAAAACGTAAAAATCAGAATATACAAAACTGTAATTATGCCTGTGATTCTGAATGGGTGTGAAACTTTGGCTCTGATATTAGAGGAGGAACATGGAATGATGGTGTTTAAGAGTGGGGTGCTGAGGAGAATATTTGGACTGATGAGAGATGAAGTGATGGGAAAATGGAGAAAACTGCACAGTGAGGAGCCTCATAATTTGTAATTTGTAATTAGAATGATCAAGTCAAGGAGGATGAGATGGGCAGGAAATGTAACATGAATGTGGGCGAAGTGGAATGCATATAGGATATTGATGGGAAAGCCAGAAGGAAAAAGGCCACTAGGAAAACCAAAATGTTCATGGGTGGATAATATTAAAATGGATCTTAGAGGGATAGGATGGGGTGGTATGGACTGCATTGATGTGGCTCAGGATAGGGACCAATGGAGGGCTCTTTTGAACATGGTAATGAATCTTCTGCTTCCATAAAATGTTTGGAAATTCTTGAGTAGCTGCACAACTGGCAGCTTCTCAAGAATGGCTCATCTCTATGGAATTAGTTATATCAGGCATTTCAATATGGCAGCTCTGAAAGAACAGCTATGTACTGAGAAAGTCTGTGTAGTTATTCACTCATTCACCGAACGAAATACCTTAACACAGTTCACTGTGAGCTGGTGGAAGTGTATGGAATATAAATCCATTAAAAATAAATATCCAAATCTTCTCAGAGAGGGTCTTCTGAGACTATCCTGATAATGCATGACTCCACACTACTCCTGGAACCTGATATTTTTTGTAGCAGTTCAAGAAGAAAGTATTAGTATATCCAACTAAGCTGACACCAAGAAATTCTCATTCGATCAAAATGCTGACGACAAATATCCAAAACCATTGACAAGAAGAAAACAGCAGTGATACCATTGTTAAAAAAAAAAGAACACTAACCTGTATCAGTAGGGACTAGACACACTAATTCTGTGGTACAAGTGCTTCATGGCGACTACAGTGTTTATGAAACAGGTTAAGAATCATGCTGTGTCATCATATTATCTGTACTGAAGATTTAATGAACCACTTCAAGATCTGCAACCGATAATTTACTTTCTGACTATACTTCATGTGTCAGCAAAGCACAGAAAATGTCAAATGTTATCCTTACTTTCTGCTAGCATAGCTTGTTAAAACACAGAACACTGTGACAACTAATACTGAAGTATAATGCCTGTCCACAGATTTGAAAGTTAAAAACCCCAAAAATGGATCTACAACCAAGCATAATAGGGCTTTAGAGATAACAAATCACATTATTTTACTGTATCTGTGCACCTTTATCTCCTTATTGCTTTATCCCTCTCAAACTCAAAAGCCACTAAATTATCTCTATAGGTAACTGCATGAAAAAGTCAGAAATGGCATGTAAAAGTTTTGTGTTAGTAAGCACTATCATAAGCCATAAGAATTCTTTCTCTGTTAACTCTTTCCAGGCTGGTTTATTTTATAAGCTAGGACCCATTTTTTGTTCCTCTGTTTTCATGGTATTTTGTTATTGCCACTGTTCAAAAGCCACATAATATTAGCTTGTATATGGCAAAAGAGTATATTTTAATTTACATTATCAAATTTAGGAATTGTTCAGAGCAGAAACAGATGGTATTTCTTAATGGGATATCTTGATGGCAGCATGGAAACTACAGAGAAAGTTACAATAAGAAGCAGAAGAAGAATGGACTGTAGACAGAAATCACCAAGACAGTGATTGTAAAGAGTCGCACAGTCTTTATGACAATTGCTGTTGAAATAATGTTCATAAGGTGTCATTAATAACACCAGCTAGGAACATCATAGGAAATTAACAAAACTGTACCTGTGTCAAGGCCCGGATGGGGCGACACATAGCTTCATTAGCTACATGTATAAAACCCATTGCAACATCTTCTGCTGTCATTGCAGGTTTCGTTTTGCCATCTGGTTGGGTGCTAAGGAAATTGTTTATCTGGAATCCAAAAATAAAAGAATGGCATAAGGTCAGTTTCTCACTCTTGAATATAAGAAACAACATTATTTACTCCTCCTCCTCCTCATCATCATCATCATCATCATCACCATCATCATCATCCACCTGGAGATAAACATATTCACTGTTGCTGTCATCATTACCATCGGTGACGACGACAACAACTTCAAGATGGGCTTTTATTGGTCTGTTCTGTCTCAAAGACTATCCTTCCTCTCATTTGAGTCATCTGCAGTCTCTGAGAATTACAAGTTCTTTTTCCAGCTGCTCCTAACTCAGCACAAGACTGCAAATTGGACAGCCTAAGCCATAGCTGAGGCTGTCATTAGAGAGGTCAAAATTCAATCCCAGGGCAGAACATTCTCTAAGTTGCTCGACATGGTTATCCTGCAGACATGATAGCAATGACAAACAATTCAACATTCCTGATGTCTTTCTTATTACCTGAACCAAGAAACTGTTGATTTTCTTATGTTTACATAATCTTTTATACTTGCGAGCATCAGTCGATATTTTCTGATAGACACTGCATGCTAGATAATTAAGCCTCAGGGTGGCAAGAAATTTCTATTCGGACATAAAGTTCACATCACACGTCACTAAGTAAACCATGAAACAAACAAACAAAATTCACATGAATCATCTACCTCTTCAGTGAGTTTGTAGAAAGCTTCTATAGTTGCTGCTTTATCCAGGGGTTCATTTTCTGATGGACCAAATATTTTTGGGAAGTATTCTGGCAGCAGACGTCCTAGGCACAGATTGGCATCAGTCACAGTAAGAGGTCCTCCTTTGCGGTAGCACACAGGGCCTGGATGTGCTCCTGCAGATTCAGGCCCCACTACAAACAGGCCTGAGCGGAAGAACAGCATGGATCCACCACCAGCAGCAACTGTATTAACATCCAGCTGAAAGCAGAGGCAAATGTACCACAACCTGCCATGAATTACCATTATCACTGCAATGAGCAAAGTAATCTGTATATAAATCTGGTCACTTTACATATTGAAGTGAAAGATGAGAAGCTTTTATTTTGATGAAACCTGGTCTCTCACTCTGAAGAAATAGTGGGTTTCAGTTCCCATTGGCTTGTCACTGGCCGTGCAAAAGCCCAGAGGTTTCATTCTGTACCATGACAAGCCAATGGGAACTGAAGCCAACTCTCCCATTTCGTTCCTGCTTCCTATGTAATCTGAAATTTCTGGCCAGCAAATTATTTGGCATGCCACCTGCTTTCACACTGGTTATCTTGCTTGGTTTATTCGGTCCGTTCCTCTGAAACATTGGTTGACTTTCAACAGACTACATGGCGTTATATCCCAGAAGATAGTACTCTTCAAGGTAAATGGAACTGTTCTCATTATCACGTCCACAATGGTCACGGAGCCCGGAGCCCACCCAGTATCCTATCCAATGTGCATCAACATCACAGGCAAAAGAATGAGAATAGATAAAAATTGTGTGGATCTCTTCCTACACAATTCACACACCTTCATGCTGTGCCATATAGATCAGAAATAACTCCACCTTTTTCATTGTACAACACACATAATTACCTGTACATGTTATTCTAACCCCCTGCCATGCCATTCATGATAAAAGACCTTAAAAAGAATAGAGAAGACTTGTTAAGTAAAATGATAGCATCAAAGCTATAGTCTTGACACTGATGACATCATTAAATAATACACTTAAAAAAATTTACAATACAGCAATGCCACAAAACTTGCATTTATTTTTTTAATTTTAATGCACTAATAAATACACCATTTTAACCAGGTATAAGAAACTTTGTTTGGAGATAGAACATAAAGGTACCTATAAGTTCTGCTGTAACCTTTATTTTTACATATTGAAAAATAAAAGTTACAGTTGCTGCCTGTCATCCCATGCAACTGGAAGATATAAAGAAATTCAGGTATCAGAAAAAGTTACAATGTAGAAAATGTGACTGCATATGAATATGAATAAGATAGTGACTATGAGGATTTCAAGGAACCTAAACATACATGTCAGGAAAACATTAATGACATAATGGTTACAACAAGCGCATAAATATATTTATATGGACACTGAAGTAAATTCATAAGGGAAAATTGAAGGAAAGGGCAACAGAAAACACAACATAATTCTAAATCTTGGAAGGTGATAAAAAGAATACTATGGAACAATCACTCAATTAACCAGCCACCCAACACATTAACTAATCAATGATGCAATCATCTAAGAGATTGTTTAAACTCACTAACTCCATGGCTCAGAGTCCTTCTTGAGGAAACCAAAGCTTATTATCTTGTTCACCAACTACATTTTAATAATATAAATTCGGTATTCAGTACAACTAATATCAAAGTACCTGATACTACAGTTGAACCAGCATAATCCTGTTCCAGCAAAGTGCTCTGAATTCAATACACCAACTTAATTCTCACTCTTAAACAACACTAACCAAAGTTTCAAAATTCAGTTTAATTACAGTCTAAGTAGGTGATGTTTACTTGAGGTATAATTTTGTGTTTATAATACATTACCTGTGGAGCCTGTATGGTGACTCCAGCTGTGGTTGATTCAAACACATGCTCATAATCGCCAGCAAATCGANAGAGTGCGGCAAGGTCTACATCGGGCAGATGGGCCGCTCTGTGGACACCAGGTTGAAAGAACATCAACGGCATCTACGATTAGAACATCCGGACAAGTCAGCCGTAGCTGAACACAGCATCGAGCTAGACCACCATATCCAGTTTCACAAAACCGCCATA